TGAAATACTGTAAGGAGGAATTTCCTGACTGAGAGGGCTGTTGAGCAGGGGAACCGCCTGTCTCTGGGAACTGAGGACTCCACTGGAGTTTTTCAAGCCAAGGTTGGACAGCCGTTGTCCTGGGGATTCCTGCTGGGCAGGGGTTGGACTAGGAGGCCTCAAGGTCCTTTCAGCCCTAGGATTCTGCCTCCTTGATCGCCACTAAGGCTTTCACTGCACCCAAATCCAGCAAAGCCAGACTACAGACCTGCCTTTCGCACTGTAGCGTTCTGGGGTCTACGAGGCCAGGGTTCAGCTGGCACCGTGAGCGAGCAAGCCGTCTCTAGCTTCCTGTGCTGAGATATGGGCAGCTGAGTCTGCAAGACCCTCTCAGGCTCAGACTTCCTACCGCAGTCAGAGAAGATGATGGCCAGGGGCTTTGCTCCAGCCAATTTCTGCCAGCAAGAAACTAGGTTAAAGAAACACATTAGCGTAGGGCATCTGTAAGCTTGGTGGCAAGCCAGTTTTTTTTTTTTTCCGAGCTAGAACATCCTGTAAAATCGGATCCAATATAAAAACTATCTGCCTGCTCTCCGGAGGTCCTCCCCTGCCCCAGAGCCTCCATCTGAAGGGGGAGGTGGCTCCAAGGAGCAGCAGAAACACCACAGCTTCCATCAAAATAAATAAGGCAATGCCCACCACAGATCAGAAGAAGCGCACCTGAAAGGCAGCATTAGCGGGTCCTGAAAGAGGCACTGGAGAATCTGGAGGATCGTTCAGAATTGCGAGAGACACAGCTCTGCAGTGCTCAGCCACAGCGCTTTCATGCACTGCAGCCATAAACCTGCCTTGGATTTTCCAGGGCCCAGAACAGCGGAGACAGCAGGGTCTTGCCTTGTCACATTAGCCGCAGTTAGACTGCTCTAAAGCTCCCTGTGGCTTAGGGGAGTCCTGTGCTTCGAGTGCGGAGAGCGCACACAGTACCAAAGCCCTGTTCAGTCGCAGCAAAACAGCCACGCAAGGACAAGGGCAGCCCCTCCAAGGAATCCTCTTGCCGGACCTCAGCGCCGGGTTTCCTGTACCCACCAGTCAGAGACGGGGACCACCTGCACTTCCGGGAGGCAGAAAGGGAGTTCTGAATACTGCCCTGGAGGCAGGACCCAAGGCAGGAAGGGCAGTGGTACCAGAGCCATCTCTGGCACCTCCGTAATCAGGAACGTCTGGGACCCTTGCTGGATGAGACGGGTCCTGCATCGGACACCCTACGCACGACAGACCTCTCGGAGCCAAGCATCAGGACAGTGGCAGGGAACTCCAGGGCCCCAAGACACCACCAAGAGCATCTTCTGCATCCAGGGACTGCACATTCTGGCTCAACCTGCCCCCCTGAAATATTCCCCAGTTCCTCCTGGCCCAACAGGAGCCTCGCCCCCCCACCCCACCCCACCGCGGCTTGCTTGGCTGCTGGGTAGGGTTAGGGTTGCAGCACCAACCCAAGGGCAGCCCAGCACGCACAGGGCCCTGGACTCTGGCAGCCGCGAGGCAGCCCCTGGCAGCACAGAGGCGGGGTGCAAGCGGGCAAAAAACACAGCCTTTGGATCCCTGCATCCAGCCGCTCTCGAGGCTACCAACCCCTTGTGTACTTCAAACGTCCCAAGAATCCTCGCAAAGCGGAGCCAACCGACTCAACAGGACAGCTGCCAAATTGGGGCGGTCTGTCAAACTCAACCGGCGTCACCCCCAAGCCAAACTGTACCCACCTCTTCTTCCCTGCTTGGCCCCCACTGGGACTCAAAGGGGGCGGAAGGGCAGCCCAGGGCCTCAATCCGTGGGACTGTGCAGGCTCGCCACCAAGGGCAGGCAGAGAGCATGGTGACGTCCGTGTCGCAGGGCTGCTGCAGCGCCAAGAGCCAAGATGCAGCCGGAGGCTTTATGAGGACAGCCCCAGTCCCACAGGTGTCCAGCGTCACCTGACCACCTCCCAGCCCGCGGGCCCAGGGAGGACTGGGGCAGCCCAAGGGCAGGGGCCGAGCGGGGCTCAGTCAGGGAACCTCTTTCTCTCTCGCCTGCTTTCACCTCTTAGCCCGGCACTGGTCTCCGCCACTCAGCAAAGGAAAGCCGTGGACTTGTCAAAGCATGGAGCAGCCACAGCCAGAGGAATCCTGCCAGCGTGCTCAGCAGCAGATTTCCGCTTGCTGTCTTGAGCATGCAGACAGGCAGCCCCTGTTCCTCCCCCAGGGTTTTCAGCCAGCCCCCAGCTCCCCGACCCACCACGAGGCACTCAAGCAATCCGCAGGCAGTTCTGGAGGGGGGTCAGCTTTATGCACAGCTGCCAGCTCAGACGGGGGGGGGGGGATGGCACATTCCTAGCACCCAGACTCTCAGGAGAGGTGGCTTCTCTTGCAAACCCCCATGATACCAGGAGAAATCAAAGCTTCAGGTTGCAAGAAATGCACAAAGTGATGCTGCCAAGTTGAACATTCAAGGAAAAGTTGCAGCCAGGCCCATCCCAGAATTACAGCAAAGGCCCCCTCCTGCTGCAGCTCTGGAGACAAGGACGATGGCCTGTGGCTGCTGTTCGTCCCCAGCACCCGCCGCTCAGGGCCAGACGACCCCAGAGGGTGCGTAATCCACCTGTTTTAAAAACCCAGGTACAAAACTCTCGAAGATGTGGGAAGCGGCTCAGTGACTCTGCGAGGTGGACCCAGCCCCCCAGGGGAGGGAGCCAAGATACAATGGGTAGAGGAGCCTCCCTTTCCCAAGCTGGCCGTCCTCCAGACAGGCGGGGCTGAACCCGCCAGAGTCCCCAGCCAGCTTGGTGAAAGGCCAGGCTTGCCGCAGAACTGAAAGCGGAACCCAGGTTTCCAGTGGCCTTTACCAAGCAGGCCAGCTGGGGCAAAAACCCTGGGCGAGGAGCCAAACGGGGGGTCTTCTCAAGCCCTGGCCTTGGAAGGAAATGGAGTCTTCTGGTGGGGTCTGCATGGGGCCCAGCAAGTTGTATGTCCCAGAAGGATCCTGAGAGGATGTGCTGTGCCACTGTGCTCTGGAACACACTGGGTGGCCCACAACTTCTAGCTCAGCCCTTTGCTTTGTGGCAGGAGACCGTCCCTGGCATCTCAAGGTCTCCGGGCATTTCTTCTCTCAGCAACCAAATGCCCAACAAGCATGGACAGAGGAACTCCTGTGCATCAGTGTCCTGCCCCTGCCACTCCCGCTCTGGGGCGAGACATCCACCCCACCTGGCTGGGATGCCAGGGCAGCAATCCTTGGAATCCTGACCGGGAACAGGGGGCATGCCCCGCGGAGGCACCCTGCCAGCCCCGCCTGCAGCTGGGGACTAGCGCGGGACCCATCTTGTAGTTTCATGAGCTCTCCAGGGGTTCCACCGCCTGCCTGCTTGCCTGGCAAGGGGGAGCGGGGCTGATCTGATGCGCTTGCGAGGACAAAGCGGGTGCTTTGCCAGCACCAACTATGCAGGC